TTTTTTTTGGAGAGATTTTCACTGTAGGGCGCGTGCGCTCGCCAGACAGACAGAGAAGACATTAGAGACAGAAAGCGAGAAATCACCCCCCAGGGGGGATGGTCACGCCGCAATCCCTTCTCCTCCATTCTCCTCTCGGGATCTTGGGCACGCACGCACACGCGCCCGGCGTGAGTTTTAAGCCACCGGGTCCGGGACGCGAACCGCGGTCGACTATGTGGGAGTCCAGCGACATAGCCATTACGCTAACTGCTGGTTCCCTTGTTTGTTTGTTTTTGTAGTGTTGCCAGAGGGTGCATACATTCACTGGAGAGGTGGCAGAGAAAGAGAAAATGAGAAAGTGAGCAACCCCCCAGGGGGCATGGTCACACCACAATCCTTTCTTCTCCTCTTCTCCCTCCCTTTGGGATTTGGGATTTTGGGCACACGTGCACACACACACACACACACACACACACACACACACGCCTAGCATGTTTCTCAAGCCACCAGGTCCAGGACTCAGATTGCAAGGTTGGCCATGTGGGATCCAGTCACCTTAACCATTGTGCCTTGGACTGGCCCTTGTCACAAGGAGTGATAACAAGAATGTTTATAACCTAGGGGCGGCTCCATGGCCTAGTGGTTAAGGGAGCCAATCCCCCACAACTGACTACGCTGTTTGAGTCCTGGTCCCGGTGGCTTGAGAAACATGCCAAGTCCGTGTATATGTACCTAAAGTCCTGCCAGGTTAGCATAGTGGAGGAGAAGGGATTGTGGTGGGACCACGCCCTATTGGGATGCTTTCTCCCTTCCCCTTTCTCTGGTAAGCAGTTAATTTATCAGTTAATAAATTATTTTTTAAAAAGAGGGTCAGTCCTGTGATCTAGGGAGCTGGATCTCACAGGGCTGACCATGCAGTTTGTGTCCTGGCCCTGGTGACTTGAAAAACATACCAGGCACATGTGTGTGCATGTCTAGAATCCCAACCTGATGGAGAAAGAAGGTGACGAAGGGATTGTGCCATGGCCATCTTCCTGCGTGGGAATGCTTTCCCATCCCTGACATCTCTCCTCCCATAAGTGCACACAACCTCTGACCAAAAAAAAAAAAAAAAATTTTTTTTTTTACAATGTAAGACCAATAAATGGGCATTTAATCAGCAAATGGTCAAATGCTATCTCATTTGTGGTACAGAATTTTTCCGGAGGGACGTGTTCCTGTGCGGGGTGGACCTGGGTTCAGCCAGCCTCCTGGGTAGCCAGATGTGGAGGATGGCAGGTTTCCTTTACCTCCCAGGTTCACAAAAGGGAAGACTTCCACACGACAGGCAGGACAGGGCCCGGAGCAGTGAGGCAGAGGTTCTCCTTCCCGAGCACCTAGGCCCTTCTCATTCCGGTTTCCCTCGACCCATTCTTGGGTGAGTGCCCAGGTTCTAGAAAGGGGTGTGAGGGCCAGGTTCTAGAATGGCTTTCTCTTGAGATCAGGCCTGGAACATTAGAAGGGCATCTTTACATCAGCTGGGAATGCACTGGCTTGCATTCAGCTGCTTCTCCTATCGCCTGTTGCTGCTTTTCCTGGTCAGTTACTCCTTTCCTCATCTAGAGGCCACCTCTTGGCAGTGATTTCTAGAAGTCCCCTAGGTCTTCAGTGCCTTGGCTTCATCCCTGCCCCTCTGACCCTTTCCTCCTGCAGGCATGAGCCTGGCCCACACCACTGTGCTCTTGTGGGCATGGGGGAGTCTCCAGGCTTTTGAAATTGTGGAGAAGGAGAACATTTTTCAGAAGACCCCCTGCCCCGCTTTCCTGATGTTTGACAATGCAGCCTACCTGGCCGACATGAGCTTCGAGCTCCCCTGCCACTGCAAGCCGGAGGAGGTGTCAGCTGTGGTCTGGTACTACCAGAAGCACCTAGGTGGCAGCCACACCAAAGTGCTGACCGACTTCGACGGGCGCGTGCTGACAGAGGCGGCTCAGGTGCGGGCCGGCAGCGATGTGCTGGTGCGCTTCAGCATCCGCATGTTCAGCCTGCTGGTGTTCCGGGCCCAGCCTGAGGACTCAGGCTTGTACTTCTGTGGCACCCGCAAAGGGGACTACTTTTATGCCTATGATGTGGACATCCAGAGCAGTGAGGGAATGGTGGCCACCTTCATGGATGAGGGTCAGGAGCCCTTTGCAGATGAGTACCACAGGCGCCTCCGTGTCTTCACCACCTTCTGGGAGTGGACCCCCTGCGACCGCTGTGGGGTGCCTGGGGAGCAGTGGCGCATCGGTCTCTGCTACCTGCAGAGCCCAGACCTCTCTCCGCGCTACCGCAAGACACTGCCCGACGTGGTGTCCTGTGGTGCACAGGCTGTGCCCAGGAAGCTGCGGGCTATGGCCAGGGACCACACGCCTGAGCTGCTAGTTCGGAGCTGCACAGTGCCCTGCAAGAAGAAGACGATCCGGGAGGGCGTGCTGGCCATCTTCAACTATGTGTCCAAGGTGGGCAGCCGGCCCTGGGTACCCCAGGTGCCCATTCAATTCCACCAGCAGAGATTGGGCCACGGACTCATCATGTCCTGTCCCGGGGCCCGGCCCGAGCACGCGGTAGCCTGGGACAAGGGCCGGCAGCAGCTGTACCGCACACAGTACCTGAAAGGCGTCAACAGGTCCATGAGGGTGTTCATCGACCATGGCCACCAGCTGCATATCCGCTTCACCCAGCTGGGTGACCGGGCCATCTACTACTGCTGGCGGCAGGGGGTGCGGGTTGCTGGCTTCCGGCTGGGCGTGACATCTCGAGGACGCTACCCAGCCTCACTCTCAGACCCTGAGACTCGCTCTGCTGTGAAGCTCACCCTGCTAGGCTACCTGTTGATCACGGCCGTCTTTGTCACCATTCACCTGTGTCGTTGCTGCTGTTACTTATTTCGCTGTTGTCCCAACTTTACCCCCTAAGCTATCCCTTCCCGACCTCTGAAGACCAGTTGTACTTCAGTGTGTTTGTTAAATGGTTACAAGAAGCCTCTGAGTGGGCACCTGCTCCCTGTTTTCCTGGATGGTGGGGTAGGCCCAGGGCCTGATCTGGGAAGTGAAAAAGCCTGAGGCAGGTGGGAGACTGGGGACCGAGGAGGTCAGGATGGACATAGCCAAGGTGCACATGTCTTCTGACTTTGCTTGGAGGAGGAGGAAGCACACTCATATCTGTCAGATGGCCGAGTCAGGGTTGACTAGTGTCGAGGGTCCTTTACCTTCTTGCCTTGGAGGACTGCCAAGTGGGTGCTGGTTGGAATGGAGGTGGTAGAGGAGGAAGGGAGGAGGGGCGGGAGCTGGTTTTTGTCCTCTTTGGTGTCCTCCCTGCCTTGTCCTGGGACTGGCAGGGAGAAACAGCAGCTTTGAGAATCAAGGTAAAGACTAGAACAGGAGAAATGGATGACGAAGGTGGAGATCAGGGGTCAGCAGATGTCATAGCGGTTATGTCACTGGATTCCCACATGGCTGACTACATTTGAGTCCCAGACCTAGTGGTTTGAAAATCACCCTGGGCCCGTGTGTGTGCATGCCCAAGATCCCAGGAGGAGAACAGAGGAGAAGGGATTGCAGCGTGCCCATCTCCCCGGGCAGTGATTTCTCACTTTCCCTCTCGCTGTCTCTGTCTCTCCAATAAGCGTACATACCCTATGGCAAAACAGCTTTAAAAAAAAGTGGAGATCAAACTCAGATTTCCAGAGAAACTTGGGGGAAGGGACTGGATGGGAACAAAGGCCGGGGCACCAGGGCCACGGGGGCACCAGGGCTGCTGTGGCAGAGAGGGGTTGGAGGTGAGTTTGGTATGTGGCTGCTGGGGCGTGGCCTGGGCTCCCAATAAACAGCAAGCTGGGTCTTGTTCCAGGCTAGTCTTGGCCCCGCCCCACCTCTCATGAACAGATCAGAGTCCACTCTGGTGAGGCTGCAGCACGTCTTTATTTTTCCTCAATGCCTAAAGGCAGCACCAGTACCCTGAAGGTTAGCGGTCGCAGCAGGTGGCAGGAAGGAGCAGGAGTGGGATGCCAAGTCTTGGGAAGCGGGAGGACCTCTACCTCTCCCTCCCATTGCCTTAGCGGGGAGAGGAGGATCCTCTTTCTTGGCACAGACACCAGCCCTGTGCCCACCAGTCTACCCATGAGAAGCAGGGCAAGTGCCCTGCCTCCAGGCTGTGGAGTACAAGCCACTGTCTTCATTCAGCTAGGGCCTCAGTTTCTCCAATTATAAAATAGTGTGTACCTAAAATACACATATCTTGTGTGTGAGTAAGAGGGGGCCACAAGGAGCCCTTGACTTTCAGGGAAAAAGCAGCTGGTCATTATGGGGTAGCGAGCGAGGGTCAGATGTATGATGGTGGCATCGCTGGGTCGGCAGGTAGCAGTCCAGGGGCTCTGAGGTCTGGGTGGACAGGGACGATGCAGCAAAGAAGTCTAGAGCAGGAGGAACTTGTGCCTGCCCCCGTGGGCAGCAGCCCTTTCTGTCCTGTATCAGCACCTTCAAGAGGATGAGTCACATCCCACGTGTGACTGGTTCCCCCCAACCCCCTACATCGACATTGATGGTGATCTTGTCCTGACGGCCTCCTCCACCATCTCTACTAGCGCCCCCTGCAGCCTGCATGTGAGGGCCCTCCAGGGCTTGACCCCTCTGCACCCTCCTCAGGGGCCAAGCAGGCCCCTCTGCTCCCTCCCAGCACCCCTTCCCTCTCCACTTTCACTGCACATCCCCCAAAGTGCTGAGAATCAGGCTCCCACGTGCCCACAGCTTGCCCACAGACTGGCTCCCTGCACGGCACCTCAGCGGGGCTGAGGCACTTGAATCATCACTCAGAAAGGCCCTCTGGGATCTGGGCAGGCTCAGGGCCACACAGGTGGCAGGACATCCCCACCCGTTCTTCAGCTTGTCAGGGTCAGTTTAAAACAACAAGCCTCTGGCCAGGGCTCCCTTACCTTCAGAGACTTCCCCTTCCTGTCTCAGAGTCTCTCTCTGCCTCCAGCAGCCTGAGGAAGCTCAAACGCCCAATTCCTAGAGACCCCGAGAGACCTCCAGCTCTGGCAACAGTTGCCATAACAACAGGGATCGGGAATGCAGGAGGGTGATTTATCATGTCCCTCTACATTCCCCAACTTCTTTCCTCTGAGCTGCTGGCCACGCCCCTCGAGGCTACCTATTCAGGGCAAGCACCCTGTTAGTTGGAATTGCTGGGTGTGGGGTGGGTGCCGTCTGGCAGGCCTAATGCTGACAGATCCTAGGGTAGCAAGCTGGTGAAGGGACAGGAGGGGGAGCTGGGGTGGGTGGGAACCGGGGTCTGGAGTAGTCTGGGGCTGTCAGCTATCAGAGCAGGGGAACTATCCTTCTGTTGCAGGCTGGGGACAGGGGCCCCCAAGTGGGGCCTGCCTCACATCACGTCCTTGTGCTCCTGCTTGGACTCCTTAATGACCTGCAGGGGACAGGAAAGGGCACAGTGCAACAGTTAGGAGCTCACACGGACCCCAGGTCCACCACTGCTAGGTCGTGCAGTCCGCTAAGTCCCCAACCATTCTGAGTGTTTCTTTTTTCTTCCATCAGTGAGAGAGATAAATAGCACCCCAACAGGACCTTGACACAGTGATCCATCCCCGGCCTCAGCCAGCCCTAGATCATGGCTGCGACATGCCCAGCACACTCAGGGAAGTCTCTGAAAGAGAACCCAGAACCTCCTCACGTGGGTCAACCTCACAGAGCTTCGTGTTTTACCCACCACGCCACCGTCTTGTCCTCTTTCTTTTCTTGACAGTAACCGTAGGTGCCTTAACTGCCTCGTGCAGTGGTCGAGGGAGGGTCCAACAGGCAGCGTAGTAGTTATGGTACTGGATTCCCATATGGCCAGCCACAGTTTGAGTCCTGGACCCAATGGCTTAAAAATCATGCTAGGAGGCCGGCAGGTGGTGTGGTGGTTGAGTGCACTGGACTCCCACATAGCCAACCATGGTTCAAGTCCTGGTCCTGATCAATTGCTTTCTCACTTTCCCTCTCTGTCTCTCTCTGGTCAAATTTAATAATAATAATAATAATAATAATAGTAATAAAATAATAAAGTTAAATAAAATAATTCTTTTTTT